CAAGGGTGTCCTATCTATAAATGTTTCGTAGTAGAGTCCAGATATCAAGTCAGTTTTAGCTGCATTTTAGAGGTTTTTTTTTTCACAGAACTGAATATGGCAACTCTCCCAATACTACTACATGTGCAGAAAGAGTCTTCCACAATACAGAATCCTGTCCAAGATCACCCAGCTGCAGTGGAGATCTAGGGAAAAATCCTTGCATTGCCAAATGCACCTGGAGTGTTTAAAGGTACTTGAAATGTGGTAAGTTTCTGTCTTTCTCTATGAGCTCTTGGGGCCATTGGTAAGTTTTGCCTAGGTATCCCCAGTGTGCACTCATGGCCAGGACCAGGTCATGTTGTGATAAAAAAAAGGTTATCTAGAAGAAAGTTTTAGCAGTCTGGAAACTCCAGGATCTCTTCATGTAAGTGTTAATTATAATTAATTTTTACTCCTTTGCTGAGGAAAATCTAACAAATGGGGGAAAATGTTCAGCTATGGACAGAGGCTAATGTCTCTAATCCCAGGTACTCAGGAAGTTTAAGCAGGAAAATAACAATTTCAAGGCCATCCTGGGTAACTAAATGCTGCCCTGTGTCAAAATTCAGGAAAAAGAAAAAAAGGGCTATAAATATAGCTTAGTAGTAGAATCCCTTGAGTTCAATGATTAGACTTCAAAACAAATAAACTTAATTAAGTCTACACAAGGTTGATAAGTAATTCTCAGTATTCATCACAATAAGAATTCATAGAGAAAAATTTGGTAGCTTTCCCTAAGAGAGAAACAGTCATATACCAGGTAGAGTGGAAGGTGAGGGAGCTTCTGCAGAATGAGAAAATGCAATTTCTGGCCTTAAACTTAGGTTATGGAGTGGAGCAGAAGGAAGTGGGACACTGGTGAGTGCAAGATGTGCAGTTGTTTATGAACAGTGACAGAGTTTCAGGCCAAATGGGCAGACTTTGAGGAAACAGGGAACCTGTATGTGTACTGGATAAACAGGCAACTTCTTCAGGATCAGATCTGAGAGACAGGGAGCCAGAGGAATGGATCAGAAGTGCCCCAAATGCCTGGAACAGAACAATGAGCAAGACCTAGAAAGTCCAAGACTGACAACAATCACTTTGACTAAGCAAGGAAACACCTCTGGACTCAGCAAGGGTGTATACATGGTGAATACTCAGCCAGTTTTCTGCTGCCCATCAGTTCATCGCTCTGCCTATGGGAGCACTGCCCAAATCAATCCCTGGGTGGCTCAGAGACTAGGAGGGTAGCCAAATTTGCACCCTTTTGCTGCTCAAAATCTGCCAGCAGAAATACTCTAGATTTTAATCAACTAGAACAGCCTTTTTGTGATCTTTGTCCTGAGGGAAAACATGAAAGATTGTCTAGGACTAAGGAATTTCCCCATAAAGAGTCTACCTGACTTAATTTTTCATTAGTTAGATAAGGAATCTCTAGCTACTATATGCGATCTTTAGTACTTTTTGAGCAGAGTATGAATTTCTTTTATGTGTGTCCCCATTCCCATAAGATGTCAGTACTAATACAGACATAGTGGAGTTAGAGGTAGTTTCTGTGTTTATTGTTTACAAATTTTTCCTCTAAAAATTTATCCTTATGTAAGTACTCTGAAAGTTAATTCCTAAAACCATTAATCAAGGCATTGTGAAGGGAAGTGCAAGCTATGTGGCAGCTTTGTTCAAACCCTGTAGAAGATGTTTTTGGTGGAGTGATAACACGAGGCTCTCAGGAAGCCATGTTCATCCCACCTGAACCTGTGCTGTGAGTTAATATATGTTTTACTTGAATTGAGCACATCCTTTCCCCTGGAGAGGTGGGACTTCTCCTGCTGGAATTTATTAAAATCTTTCTTCATGTTCCCAGGTTTCCATGGGGAGCAGATGGCCTTCCTTCTGGAATTCCAGAGATGGGTGAATGCAGGTCATGGGAGGATATTTATCTCTAAAGTACTACTATCCTAGGCTCATGAAACCTCCCCCTTCTCAGAATATCAAGTTCTCAGGGAAAAGAAGAGAAGGTGCCCATCATCTGTTTCAGATTGTGTTAAAGAGATGGGGAAAGACTCTCTTTCTGAAGCCCAGAGGAGGAGCTCACAACCTGAAACACTCTGAACTATTGTCACCGCAGCACACATTAAAAGGAAACCAATCAGAATTCCCTTTGCCTCATGATTTTTCCAAAGATTGAATCCCCTCACCCCTAACTCACCTGCTGCTGCTTCTGCCACTGTCCTCTCCTTGCTTTTTAGGTGTGAATGGTGGCAAGAGAGGGGAGCAATTTGACTGTCTGCAATTGGCCCTCTATATTCAGGGAGGAGCTGGGAAGCTACAGCTGCAGCCAGAAAGCAGCAGACTTCCTCAACAGCTTCTTTTGGTTAGCATTTACATTCTAGAATCTCTTTACTTAAAATCCAGGGCTTTTGAGAATTGAGGTCATTATTTTTTGTGATGGTAAATAGTTGCTAAGTAGGAGGTTTCTCCACCATGCCCACCATATAAGCAACCAGTATAAATAGGATGCCCATTTTCTGGAGAGTGCTCCATGTTTTCCTATTCACCTCTTTGACTCTGGTGTATTTCCTTTGCTACATCTCTGGATTTCCCTGTATACTTGGGAATCAATGTGCCCATTGTCCTCCTCATTATTCAGGTGTACTGCCCCCATGTAAAGTTAGCCATCTTGTAGGCCACACAAACCAAGCCTCATAGCATCTGGAAGGGTTGTTCTCTCAATTCTGAGTGGAAAGTCATGTGCTGGGAGGAAGTCTAATTTTTTCTTCTGAGAAATGCAGAACCTCCTGTGAAACCAGGCTTTGATGAGGCATCAGCTGTCCAGGTGCCAACCCTGGTCTTTTTGAAACCATGTTTCTGAGGAAGACCAAGATTTAGCAGAGGGGGATATGAGACTGTGCTACTTGGGTAGGTCTTTGTAGCAGTAAAATATCATTGCCATTCAAAAAACCTACATGTGAACAAACAATAAATAAGTTGTAGGTAGAAAGGAAACAAAAAGAAAGACTGGGAATTACAACTTATTGATTGAAAGGCTTGTGCTACTGTTCACCCTTTCACTCCCAAGTCAGTTCTGCCTCCTAGGCCTGCTACTTACCAAGATGGTTATCCCAGAGGTGCCAATCTCAAATTTTTTATAAATCTGCAAATCTTCACTTGCAATTTTAAATGTACTGAAAATTCATCCACATTGAAAATTGCCCTGTTATTTCACCCACAAATACAACCATATTTAGAGTAGTTTCAGTGAAGGGAGACACAAAACCTAAAACAGAAGGTACATTCCCAGGAATCCACAAGATAGGCCACTTTGCAATGTTATCTACTATTCTGATATCAGAGAACACATTAATCTAACGATCCTGAGAATTTCCCAACCATCTTGACCTGTATTTTTGTTACCAGACTGATGTCACCTTCACATCCCTTCCCATGCCTACTCTTGAATTTCCTTTAAAAGAAGAGGTTGAGAAACCTGAGAGAATCTCTGACTCTCCAAATGACACCTATTCTCCCTGAAATATTCATTTTTAATGTTCCTAAATCAATCAGTTTGCCTCTAAGTTGTGTACTTCAATTCATTTCTGCAGTATTTTTTGGGGGATCCCCACTAATCATAAGTTGAGGTGCCCCTCTTTGGTAACTCATCACATGCACATGAGGATGTGTGTAAGCTCTCTCTCTCTCTCTCTCTCTCTCTCTCTCTCTCTCTCTCTCTCTCACACACACACACACACACACACACACACACACACAAACACACACACACAGACCCATGCACACAAAATTTCATGGGAAAAAAACTTGAACAACAATGTGTGTTGGCTAATTACACATATTAGGACATGGTTCCCATTATGGGGAAATAGTATTCTAGAATCTGCAACAGCTGGCGAGGCCGAACTGTGCTCTCTGTGGTCCTGCCCACAACCCTCTTGACATGAACACTCTTTTCTTCTGGTCATCTCTCAGTACTCATCCCTGGGGTCAAGTCACCTGTCCTGTCTCTTTTGAGGGCCAATCATTTCCTGTTGGATTCTAGAAAAATTGAAATGACTATGCACTGATCTAGAGAGAGAAAAGATTGTGTAGGACCTAGATGTCAAAATTTGATAGGCTGCCCCTTTTTTTAAAAGACAAAGACCCTTGATTGAATGGATAAATAACATTTTTTTGAAAAAAAAATATGGTCACAAGACTACCAATTGTGACATATTCTATTCCCGAGACTTATGCTGATATAGTTTATTCAAGATTTACAGTTAACTGTAATCCTGCTATGAGGTCCCCATTACAACAAAGCATGAGGAGCTTCATGTATGGTCAGACCTCATAACCAATTCAAAGTCTTCCTGAAGAACCTGGTAAATGCAATGGTCTGGGTTGTTCAAAACAAGTTCCTTCATCTGTTGATCCCCTCCCCCTTTTTTAAAGGCCAGTCTGCCTTTACCTTGATGGAACTCTTGTTTGATTTCTAACTGAAACTGTATCTCCCAGTTTGCAAATCTATTCTGTAGCTGAATATAATCTCTTTGATTCAAGGTTAACCTTATTTATGTTTCTTGGTTTGCAACCCTCTGTTATGACAGAATCCTGCAGCACTCAGTGGTGACCAGACACTGCCATACTCACAGCAGTCAACCTTGATTTTCAACCATGGAAACCTCCATCAGGGTCCCTTCAATGGTAATCTGGGACACAGGACCATCTAGCTCAGCCCTTTTCCCAAGGACAATGCTGGTCTCATCTCTCACAGAATTGTCCCCACTGACTGATAGTGAAGAAACCTAACACTATGTTGTCAAAATGATCTCAATTATGATCCAAGTCATCTCTCCTTAGGAATAAAGGAGTTTGCAAGGAGAAATTCACAGGACTCAGGGTTCCAGAGAGGGACATGGAGCTGTAACTCTAAGTCCCTGAGGAGGAAGAGGGGAGCCACAGAGGTTTTGCCTTCACTTCTCCTTTTCATGTGTCACAGTGGCTTACCCGCTCTGGCCATCAATTGTATGATCCTCTCCACAATAATAATCAGCTTCATCCTCAGGCTGGATGTTGGCAATTTTTAAGTAACGATTAGCCCCAGAACTAGAGCCTGTGAAGCAGTCAGAGATCCCAGTCCCCTTGCTGTGGCTGCCATCACTGTTCACCTTCATTACATACTGGGGGCTGTTCCCCAGCCTCTGCTGATACCATAAAATGTAGTAGTTGCTGTGCTCACTGCTCAGGGTGCAGGTGAGTGTGGCTGAGGCTCCCAGGGAGGCAGATGCAGATGACGTCTGGGTCAGCACAGGCAGGGCACAAAGACCTGGGAACAAACAATTTCATGAGTGATATTCAGTGCTCAAAAAATGGGAAATACCTCCCCTTAGGGTTTTTGGAAGAAAATAGAGAGAGGGTCCCCAGGTTGCTTTGGGATTCTCTGACCTGTGGAGAAAACAAGGGGCAGGAGGTAAATGTGAAGCCACTCCATAGTGGGGAGGTTCTTTCAAGTGCTCTACCTTGAGGCTACCCAGCTGGGCCTGGATAAAATGTTCCCTTTTATCTTGTTTTCTTGTAGCTAGAGAAGGGAGGAGCATTGCATGCAAATTTGTTCTTCTCTTCCCCAGCTTATTTGTCTGCATTCTTGTCTGAGCTCTGAACTTGATGGCTCTGTGCTGGTAATATCCTAAGTTCAGAAGAAGGGCCTCACTGGGGCCTGGTGCAGTGGCACATGTCTGTAATCCCAGCAGGAGTATTGAGTTCAAAGCCAATCTCAGCAATTAGCAGGGCAATAAGCATGTCAGTGAGACTCTGGCTCTAAATAAATTATCAAAAACAGCTGGGCATGTGGCTCAGAGGTTAAGTGCCCCTGGGTTCAAACCCCCGAATCATTAAAAAAAAAAGAAGGAAGGCCATGTAAATATCAGAGGTAGAGAGGGCAATTCACCTGGTTGCAGCAGCCTTAAAGGAAAACCCATGATGCCCTCTGCACTGGAACATTTCTAGAAGTTCCCAGCCCAAGTCTCACAATGCCCACTGCTGCCCACAGAACAAATGGCACCCAAAGTGCATCATTAGTTTATGCAGAATTACCAATTCTGAACCCTTATTGTATGGCAGTCTCTTTGACAAGTGTCTTAAATAAGACACTTCAGGCAGACATTTGCAATAACCCAACAATAGCTTTATGCTTGGGCATAACCTGTCCCCCTGTATTCTGATGAAGGAACCATCATTCAGAGATTAAGAGATCTCACCTATGTCCCCTAAGGAGAGAAAGTTGATCAAGAGTTCTGCTTGCAGACACACTTCAGAGCTGTCCTTTCATCCCCTCAGTCCCTTGCCTCCCCACCCATTTCCTCCTCCCTCCCTCGTCTCAGGCCTCCTGGACCTTCTTGTCAGAAGCCTTTATTCATTTATAAAGAACACTCTTCTAAGTTCTGTGGAAGGGAAAGGTATATTTTCTCTGCTTCTTCCATGACATCTTACCAATAAGAACTTCTGGAACTATGAGGAGAGAGTTAAAAGCATAATGAGAGGGCACAAGATCATAGATAGGAACAGAGACCCTTGTAATTGAACACCTGGAATGTGCTGCAGGGTCAGCCTTTTTCCAGCTCTGAATTCAGGCAAGTTCCTCCTGCTCTCTGAACCTCAGCTTCCCTATCTGTGAAAAGAATAATGCTTGGATCAGAGTGGGGTTGTTTTTAAATGATGTGAGTCATGGGAAATATTGGATACATGCACACACTTATACAGAGACAAGTGCAGGAATGGCTGTAGCCTGTGTACTAATTAAAGGAAGGGTCATCCTAACCGCTGACTATTGTGCTTAAAGGGTTTTATGTGTCAGGTTCCTGGCCCTGGTCCTCAGTAACACCAACAGGATGTCTCCCTGTAGAACTAAAGCCAATTGATTTGTCTTCTTACCACTCTGTGATGAGTGTCAGCACTTCTCTAGCTGCCTCTCTTTGCTATCTGTGAGAACCTCAGGCTGGGAGGATGACCTTAGCTCCAAAATACTAGAAACACAATTACCAATGCTTTAAGAACTTTCCTCCAATCTGTGTGAGATGAGCCAGACTTTGTTTCTAGTCCTTCTGGTGCTGAAAGAAAGTGACACTGACAGGGAAGGAGTTTGTATCTCACTTCCCACCTGTGTGTCAGTGTGAGATGTGTACCACTGCTATTCTATGACTAACAATAATAGCCACATCCTTGGCTTCTGCTGTGTTGACAGACAGGGTGGCTATTGTCCCCTATGTAGAGTCAACATATCTCTCAGGTATATCTGAGGGCTGCTCACTCTGTATATCATTTAAGCACAGGTCTGATCTGGCTTAAGCTGGTTCCAATGGATGTATTCTTTGGGCAGTGCAACTCAGAGCAGGGAATCATAGCTTTCTGTTCCACAGGCACTGAAACTGAGGACATCTGTGCAAGCTCTTAGGAGGTCAAAGATCCTGCAAGAGAGTAGAGGAGAGATGGCCTCAGGATGAAGGACCCATTTTGAGTAGCCCCACTTAAATTGTGTCTGGGTTGAGCATAGTGTTTGAATCAGACTCAGCTCAGTGTACTTTGAGGGCTGAAACTAGGGATAGGACACAGGGAGATCACTTTTACAGAGAGTAAGAAGGTGAACAGGAGTGGTATACAGGCAATGGTATTGATGTCCCAAGCTCTTGGTTTTGAAATCTACAGCACAGCTGCTCTCCCCAAGATTGCTCTCAGGTCCTTTGGGACAGTAAATGTTTGTTTTTTATGAAAATCCTCTCTTCACTGAGTGTTTGTGGTTAACATTCTAGCCAGATATGGGGTAGTACAGGAGAATAAAGAGAAGAGAGAGTGCCCTACTCCCTCCAGCTGCATATGGCAGAAATTCAGCCTTATATGCCAAGGCCACATACCACAGTAACCTTCCATATTTTGACCAGTGACCATCTTTCTATTTTCTTTGTGCTATGGTTTGTCTGGCCCCAGCTAAGCAGAGTTGTTCACCTTCCAGGATCCTGACCATGGGGTGAACTGGAACCCTCTGAGGCTCTTGATGCCACATGACAGAAGAAGGTGGACAACTTATCCACGACTTCCCCCTCTTCTCCTCTCTTGGACTGTAGATTCAGTTTGGCCCATTCCTGGTCATTTTATCAGAATACAGCACTTTGTCATTAGAACTGTTGCTAAATCATTTCATATATCACATTGTGTTTGGTAAAGAACCTGAATATGTGGACTTATCACAACTTGCAATCTCATTTCAATGTGGTATTCTCTCTTTTCTATGACAGCCCCCTTCCACAATAGATTAATAACTGGCATCAAAAATTTATTCTTACTTTTTTCTCTTTGCAAAATGGTTTACCTAATCTTGTTACTAGTTCCAGAAGCCTGAGCTGTTTGAGAAAAAAACTGAAATCTCCATGGTATCTTCAAAGATTGTGGAAGTCACAGATGTACATGGATGATCACAGGATGGTGAGTGGATAAGGGTCCCTCCAGCAAAGAGGATCCTTTCACTTACCCAAGGTCAGGCCCCATGGTCATTCCTGAGTCCCTGAGTCAAGAGAGATTCCAAAGCACTCTGCAGAGTCTCCTCAAAGAAGTTGTTCATGCTCCATCCAAGGAAGGAGCCCAAGTGTCCCTTCCCCCACCTGTACCTGAACATGATCACAGACCCTTAAAGATGATGTGAGTGGACATGGGAGGAGAGGCCAGGATGAGTCAGGAGGCATCTCTGCAAGTTCCAGGCATGGAGGGGTAATACCTGGGACAACATATGGACAGTGAACAATGGTACCGTAAGATTAGGCAGGGAACCCATGAAGCCATACTGAAGGAAGGACACAGGTGGAGAAGCCCCATATTTTCACACTGAGCTGCCTTCTGAGGTACCTGGATCTCAGCTTTGTCTCTTTAGGGATTTTCAGCCCTACAAAGCCTTCTCAGGCTGATACCTAGGGCCAGCTTCCTCCACTTCCTTTCTTAGGTGAGTGCTGTAATTGGTTTTGGGCTCATTTAAATGAGATTCTGACCCTCAGACTATGGTCATAGTAGCCCAGGGCATAGGATGGACTCTCCTGGCTTCCAAATCAATGCCTGATCATTGCTTTCCTCTCCTGGACCCCCATGCTGGCCTCCCTCTTGGTGTCTTCTGGACAGTTCTAGCCTCTGTCTTAGCAGAACCTCTGCTGCCATCTGTTGGTAGAGGAGACCAAGAACTGCTGCTTCTCTCCAGATGACACCAAAAGCCTATGAACCTGCAATTTTGTGGACAGAGTGTTGCCTCACTCTGAGCCAGCTGTACCCTGCTAAGCACAGCACAGCACAGATAGGCAGCATTTGGGTTGTGCAGAGAAATAGGCTGGTGTATTCCTGTAACTGAGTCTCAGTATGAAAAGCTGTCTCTGGGCCTTGTATTGTGATAGGAAAATAGAGCTTACAGAATAAACTTGTAGGTGTTCTGTAAAGTGCCCTTTCCAGAAAAACTTCTGTGACACCCTTCAGGGACATTTAGTGCCTTTATATTATACATAGGAATCAGACTGATGCTTTTCCCTGATCTGATATCAGTAATAGCATTGTCATCAGAACACCTGATGCGCTAGGACCACAGCCCAACTATGTTTACATCACCAAAACTATCAACATCTTTCTTCTCCTCCTCCTCATTTTCACCTCTATTACAACTATTACTATATGAACCATTTTTACAGTGCATTTTGGAGGACTTGCTCATCAGCCCAGTATGCCTTCACTTTCTAACTGGGAACTTCCTTATCTGTTCTCTGCACAAGAAGTCTAATCCCACCACCCAGAAAAATAAATGTTTGAAGATTTTCCATATTTCCCCAGAAGGACAGATTCTAAGGATGATGTCACTTATTGAAATCCAGGTTGAGCTTCTTTTAATTAATGAGACCCTTTTTGTTATTGTGTCATTTAATTTGGAAAAAAAAATAAAGCTCCATTCAAGTCTTCCCATTTCAAAGTGATATAGTTCAGACCCAGGAAGACTCAATTACTAGGAAAAAAGAGAATAGTGTTTTCAAATTGTGGAAATAACCCAGGTATCCTACACTTAGGTCTTAGTCTCTATGTAGGAGAATTTTGCCGTGTCACCTGGGGAGAGGTGAGGGCATGAAGGCCATTCTAGGAGGCACACTTTATGTCCCACACAGCTCAATGCCCACTCCTCCATGGCCTGGCCATCACCATGAGCCAAAATCAGCCTGTAAGTGATGGTGACCATGGGGCTGTGCCAAGATTACAACTGTCAAACATGGAAAATGATCGTTGCTTTGCTGGGCATGGCTGATCCGGCTCCTGATGTTTCTCTATGTTCTCTTGCCTGCTCCCCTCTTTCTTGAATAGGTGGCTGATATGGCCACCTCTACAGGGGGAATATGATTCTCATATGAACCTAGTATGTGTAGTTTCGGGAGACCAAAGACTCATTCTTAGAGGCCCACCCCAACATGCTCTCATGCTTTGAGGTCAGGGTCAGACCAGGTTCAGAATCTTGTGGGAATGAATCTGGGGACAGGGCCGTGGCTTGTCATCTTTTTAGTGAGAGCAGCAGAGGATTCCAGGCCATACCAAAGATGTCTTAGAGCTCTGCCTCCTAAGCCCGTAGCTGGGCAGGGATCTTGATCTTGAAACAGAAAGTTGAAATTCATGGGTCAAAGAGTGGTACTAAAGTTGGTGCAGTTCTAGATGATTCCAGAGCAGTTTAGAGGGGCTCAGCCTAGTGGGAGATGGTTGGAGTGGGTGGTCTTTCAGGCCCCATTTCTGGCACCACTGAGTCCCCTAAGTAGGAGGAAGAGGCCCCTGCCCTATTCACTGCAGCTTCATAGCTTGTCCAGAAGAAGCCCAAGACTCTAGCACCACACCAGGGAGGTACTGAGGTACACTCTGGATTATAGGCCACACTGGCCCTGCAGAGGGCCTGTCCTTTGAGGATGTGAAAGTAAGAAGAAGAAAGAGTGTGTCTATGAGAAATACTGAACAAAGGGACCTCAAATATCAGATTCTTTATATGAAACACTCCCTGCATTTTAAATCAGTGTGTCTATTCTTGTGAAATTTAGACTTTATTTTGCAAGTATACATGGATTAAAGGAATGAATGAATAGTCATCTTTTGATGAAAAATGGGTGTTGTGTTTTTTGATACACTCAATGATCAAGTTTACATGCATAATAAGTAGGATGAAGGGTTCAATATCTACAAATAATGAGGACCTTTAGTCTTGTAGGACGTTTGGGTGGAGTGAAGTTTGGCCAACAAGAGGCATCCAAGATTACCTCAGGTTTCATCAAAAACTGGAATGTATTTAGGATTCTGGAAGGTTATATTGGACTGCTTCTGAAGCCAGTGAGTGGGTCTCAGGTAACTCAGGTCAGTCCCCTGGCACCTACTTAGTTGTGAAGGAGGCTGATCATCCCATGGTTGTTTGCTATAATGCCCAAATGGCTTCTCTCAAGCTGAAGGGGTCAGAAGCTTCTGGCTATGTCCCTCAGTATGGCCTAGGCAGGACCTGACATGGAGGATAAGGGGGAATATGGGCTTGCAGAGAAGAAGCCTTGGAGCAGGGGACAGAGGGAGGGGAAATTATGGATTAAAGACAGACGTAATGAGGGGGTACTGCAGAGGGATGAAGGATCTTAGAGACACTTCTGAGAAGGAATTAGAGCAGGGATGGCCATGTTTTCCTCTCTGCTAGACCTCAGAGTAGCCCAGGCAGTCAATGACATTTCTTCCAACTGGAACCTTCCAAAATACACAATTGGGGAACTCTCACATGTTCATTTCTATCCCTGTGGAGATGAGTCGTGCAGGACTGGGATGGTTGACCTGATATCTCCCTACCCCTTACCTGAAGACATGTGTATCTGTTTTTTTTTTTTTTTTTCTGGGAATGTCACATGCTCTCCTCTCAACTGGTCATTGTCATCCTGCAGAATGTTTGTTGGGGCTAAGGACTGAGGTCACCAGTGTCAGTTTCACTGTTGGACCCAAGACACTTGTACTCAGAAAGATGAGGGAGTAAACTACAATTTTTTTTACTTTGGGACATTCCAGAAAAGTGATTTCCCAGGTAAACAGCTGGGTCCATTGAAGAAATAGTTCTTATCTGGAAAAACAGCTACCTTATCAAATAGAAGTTTAATAATTAATATCAACAGCAAAATTCTCCATGTCTAATTTGTACCAACCCTACCTAGTATAACACTAGGTACATGGATACACATCAAAACCCTCCTTGACAGACCTGCCTTAAATCGCCCCAGGACATATCTTCCAAATCTAGAATCATATCCTTTCCTTGCCCTTCTTAACCATAAATAAGACCCTGCCACAGTGAAATTCTCCTTAATACTAACATGCAGTTTTGTTTGACTAAAGACTTGCTGTGGCCTTTGGGACTGGCAGCTCAAGTTAATAAAAATGACTTGCTCAGGTGCCAATGGAATCAACTGATCCTGGGGAGGTACAGGAGCCTTCCCTTCATCTCTTAGGAATGCCTGGACAGGGATGGGAGTAGACTTCCTCCACAGCATGTGACATGCTCTCTGCTCTCAGGGTAACCAGGGCAGGAAGAGGTCTTTGGTGCCAAGCTGATGGTAGGTTTTTGTCTCACTTCCCTGTCTGCTCGAGTCACTGTGAGCATCATTGCCATCCCACACCTGACAGTAATAGTCAGCCTCATCTCCAGCTTGGGTCCCACTGATGGTCAGGGTGGCTGTGTTCCCAGAGTTGGAGCCAGTGAATCGGTCAGGGATCCCTGAGGGCCGGTTATTATCATTGTAGATGATGAGCAGCGGGGACTGTGCTGGCTTCTGCTGATACCAGTACACACTATAGCTGCCAATATTATTGCCTTCACAGGTGATTCTGGCCACTTGTCCAGGGGTCACTGATACTGACGATGGCTGAGTCAGCACATAAGTGGCTACAGAGCCTACAGGGAAATAAAAGAAGAGAGAGGACTAATGGGGATAGACACTTCCCATGAGATGCCCAGTTTACCCCTGGCCTGAAAAAGCTTCAGGAAATCTATGGAAACAAGGGCATCCTGGCATCAAAATCAGCCATAGTGGCCCGTGAGTCTGACTGCCAAATGGAGATTTGAATCCATGAGCAAGCCCAACCCCTTTCCTCCTCAAGCTCACACAAGCCAGAGAGCACAGTGTTGGAATTTCAGCCTAAAATTTCATCCTGCAGCAGGTCCTGAGCAGCATCATGCCCACCACAGACAGAGCTTTGCTGAGCTTAGAATTAAGGCCAGGTTAGATATACAGGAGCCGTGGGCTGGGGTGTATGTTGGGACCTGGGGGGCAGCACCTGTGTAATGAGCCAGGAGGCTGAGGAGAAGAGCCTTCCAAGTCATGGTGTCCCTGTAGCTGCTTCTTGAGTCCCAGGCTGGCCTGTGTTCCCCCCAGGCCTCTTTTATTTCCTTGTTGGGGACAGCTGCCTGTTATGCAAATCAGGCCAGCTTGGGGCTGCTACTGGAGGAAGCTATGTGATGTCCAGAGAAGGGCTCATCCCTAGGGAGTCAAAGAGTGGGAGGGGAAGCTCTGAAGAACTACCCCCAGCTCACAGAATGCTCCTTTATTTTATGTTCCCAATTTCTTGGCCAAGTCTCTATCCCAGGTGGTTTTCTAGCCAGGAATCTGGGCTGGCCTGGTTATATAATGCTGAGTCTGTCTTTGTCATCAAAATCAACTGTTTGTTGACAATAAGAGGTTTTGTCAGCTATGGGATCCTGTCCCAGATACAGCTTCTAAGCTGTGTGGGTCAATCAAATTCTTCCATAAGTGTACCTGGTATCTTAAAGTTCCAATGAGGTGCTATATCTCTCTGTCCTTGGTGTGAATGCCTCATGCAAATTTGGATGCTCTGCTTCACATCTCCTAATGGCTGTAGGCAGGTTCTACACCTATCTTGAAAACTAATAGACACAGAGCTTCAGCATGTATGGCAGCCTGAGGAATACTGGACCTCTGTCATATCAACAGGGACATTCTTCAAAGATCAGATCAAGGAGACCCAGGCATCAAAGAATATTTACATCATTGTTATTCCCCATATTGGAGAAAAACCCAGCATTTCCTCCAGATCTCATGTTATGGTCACAGACCGTTCTGCATGTGAAATCTCCCTTCCATTGTGAGAGCTGGTGTTTGGGAAATGTGTGACAGGTCCAGAGTTTAGCTCAATGAGATGAGCTGGGTGTGGGAAGGAGGTGTCAAGAAAAGCGGGAATATTTTTTGTGCAAACACCTAAGGAAAAAAAAAAGGAAAATTCTAGAAAAGCTAGATATAAGAGAAATGAATAACAAAAAATTTGAACTTGTTTCAAAGACGACATTATAGAAAAATGACACTTCTTTCTCTAGATCTCAAGTTGTGGTCACTACTAATCCCCCTGCACTTTTGAATCCTGAATTCCAAGCCCAGCCCACACCTAGGGGGTTTTGTCAGGTGGTTCTCAACTGCCCTCTAGTGGCCACTCTAAACTGGCTGCTGTATGTCAGGGCAACCTTGGTCCAGGTGCAGATTCAGAACCTGTCCCACAGACACAGGTTTTCTTGATGTTTGGCCAAGGGAGAAAATTCATCTTCTTCTTATGGATGTTACCATTCTCAGGACTAGGAAGGAGAGGCTCACATTACAAGTGAAAATATGAACAGGTGCATTTGGCCCATCTGAGTTATCTCTGCATAATTTTTAGGGTGGTGACTGCTCATGGAAGTGGTTCCTGGTCTTGGTGCTGGGTGACACTGGACTCAGGAACTGGCTCTTCTTATTGTCAGCTGAAGGTGCAGAGTCAATGTGAGTGAGTGGTGAGAAGCACAGATACAGACAGGAGCCCATTCACACCAATGCTTATTCAGACCCACTGTGGTCTCACCAGCTGCCATGCTGGGAATTCAGCAGAAACATGATACATCCTTTGCTCTAGGAGTTTCCATCTTCAGGCTGAGGCTGTCCTTTGGACACACCTAGTGTGCAGTTTAATAGTCTGTCCCGCCCACCTGAGACTGTGCTCTGTCGCCTGTTTCTTTGGAGATGCAGACACTTCTTCCAAGTTCTAAGCAGCCAGCATTGACCATGCAGTACAACACACACCCATGACATGGAACACTCAGTTGACCAGAATTTCTTGTCAGTGCAAGTCTGCACTTGTGAGGAAGAAAAATATGTTGGCTTTTGTGTCATTTTTCTCCTTAACTACAAGTGAGAGGCTGGAGATGCAAGACCAATCCCGGCGTCTCAAGTCAAAACAAAAATGGAAGGCTAAGATGGTAAGGATGGCAAAATAGAAGCTGAAAAAGGTCCCAGGTCCCACAATGAATAGGTTAATAAGGGAGCCAGAAAACATTATTCTTCAGGGTTTTTTTCCATTTTTTCATAAGGTAAGTATTTATTTCTAAATGCTTTGTTTTTTGGAAGTGAAAAAAAAAATATTCGCCTCCATGTGCTCATGAGTCTGTTTTCCTGCATGTATTCTTGCATTAAAAAAATTCCCTGACCCACTAGGGAAATAATTAGCACAAATAAATCAATTAACTACAACAATGTTAGTGAAAGAAACATGCAGGGTAATAATATGCAGATAATTAATAACAGTGATTAGAGAGAGAGTGACAGGCAGCCTGGGATATAACCTGAGGCTGGGACTCTATCTACAGATGTGTCACTGGAACTTCCCTCAGGGCTGATGAGAAATCACAGCACATGTGTGGGGACAACAGAGTCCATGAAGTTGGGGAAGAGACAGGGTGTGTGATGATGGGAGAAGAAAGTGAAAATGTGAGGGTAACCTGTTTAGTCCAAGTTACTATTAACTCCTAAGGAGGATTTTGATGGTATGGCAAATGCATTGAAAGCTGTTGATGGGGAAATTTCCAGGTAGTAAACTCAGTTGGTTGGAATCTGTGAAGCACATTATGAACCTCAAGTACAGGAAGAGATGGGACACATTGGATTCCCCAGTCACTGCCCTGCTTACCTGGGACTTGATATAAATAGAGGGTGGTTGCTGGTTCCTCTCCTCTACCCATGCAGCCAGGTGGAAACTTAGGCTAGAGCCTCGGCCTCCTGTCCTGAGACAGGTTGAGTGCCTTCTAGTGTCTGGTGAGTGACACAGTAATGTTTTCCTTGACAAGCCACACATTCTCTGACCTGGGAGTATGAAGTATGGGGACTGTATTTCATATGGAAGAAAATAAATTCCAATGTCACTAAGGGAGGAGATGAGAAGAGTGAAAGCATTTAGACTCCCAATAATTACTTTCCCTCGATGTACTAGGGTCATTCTGGGCTGTGCAAGGGTGTGGAAATATCCTCAGCCAAAATATTAGGATCCTGAAGCTTCATCCTCTGATTAATCGGCTGCATGTAGGGGCTGCTGCTACCCCTCACATGGGCCTAGACAGACTATATAAAGTGCATCAATCTCCCTGTACCATTCCCAAAGACAAAATATCCAGATTAAAAGAAACTACAGCAGTTATTTCACAGGTATTTACCCAAACATTTCCCTGAATTATCATTTAGGCTCTATGTATTTGTCTACAAAGTATCATCTATTGTCAAATCAGGGTCTGTTAGCATTAAAGATAAATCTAATAGTCAGTGGTATTTTGTGCAGTAAATTATATGTAGTTTGTTTTTTCTGTGTAGCCCAGAACTTTCACAAATTACACATCAGTTCATATGCAAGTCTGGAAGGTGTACATAGAGACTTTTTATTTTTTTTAAATGTCTGTAATGACATATCTATGTGATCTTAAAGAACTGAAGGTAACATTTCAAAACTATTTCTCCTAGGATGTATAAAGAATACAGCCTGGATATAATATTATTAGGGGTTTCAGAAGGCATTTTCATATACAGGACAAATCTAAATATGGTTTTGCAAATCCCATGGTAATACATCTATTCTAGCTTCTGATATCTATTTCTCTCTCTCTCTCTCTCTCTCTCTCTCTCTCTCTCTCTCTCTCTCTCTCTCTCTCTCTCTCCTGTCTCTCTCATATATTTGCATTGAAATTAGGGGCACTCAATAACTGAGCCAATCCCCAGCCCTATTTTGTATTTTATTTAGAGACAGGGTCTCACTGAGTTGCTTAGCATCTTTCTTTTACTGAAGCTGGCTTTGAACTTGCAATCTTCTTGCCTCAGTCTCCTGAGCCACTGGGATTATAGGCAGCACAGTGACCTCATATATTCTGATCTCTTTCAGTGTTTTGTCTTTGAATAAAAGTGTCATTCCAACCTAGAATTAATCTTTTCAATAATAAGCATGTGCCTGGTTTGTGCTGCATGGTGTTTAATTGTGATCAGAATTGGGAGGCTCATGAGCATATCTCCTTGGTTGTGGGAATGAGGTGGATTTTGTCCTTGATCAAATCTAAGAGACATGGGGGCACTGCCTAATGGCATGGCTATTGGTTGATATTGTATTGAATACAAGTTCTTTTCTGGGAATGTCAGCCCTTCTCATCCTGAGGACTCCATATTCTTGTTCTCATAATTGTTTGTCTTAACCCAATGCCAAGTTCTGAGAGGAAGGTCAGAAACCAGGTCTCCCTTCTGACACACTCCATAGTGAAATGGAGGGAGTAGAATATTTGTATCTAATCAGGATCTCTAGACTCCTTTTCCATCCTGTAATCTGTGAACTAGTTTCTTCAAAGAAGTTTATGGAAGTCGCAAGACTTTGAATTTAAGATCCAACTAATTATTTGGGAAAACTACACTTCCAATAGACATCTACACTTCTCTGTATCTTGGCCATAGTGAGAAACCAGCTGAGTGGGTGGAGACCAAAGTCATAGTCATTGGTCAAAGGATGAGTGAGACTCAGACCTGGGTGGGGAAGGACCTGTCTCTTCTGTGCATCTATCTGTGTTTTTGTGAGCCAGGGAGTGTTGCACTCACTGTCATAATCTATGCCACAGAAATAGTCAGTCTTGTCCCCAGCCTGGCCCCACTAATGGTCCTATTGGTCCTAATTCCCAAATTGAAGACAAATAATTGGTCAGAGACATATGTGGGCCATATGCTGTCACAGATGAACATCACAGGGCCAGCCTGGTTTTTGTTGGTAGCAATGTACCTTTTCATTCCCTAATATACCTTCAGAGAATATGGTTCTGGCTGTCTACCTGGAGTTCATTGACACTGTGGGTAGCTGAGTCAGCTCTTAGGAGGCTATGAACCCTGCTAGGAAAAAAAGAAGGGGAAGTAATGATAAAGGAAACTTCCAAAAATTCCCCTGTCAGCCTACTCTGTTTTTTATGGAGAAGATATTTTCTGTGGAGTGATATCATGGGTCTTACAGGAAGCTGTGGCCATCACAGCTGACTCTGAATAGATGTGGTGTGCGTCCCTCTGGTTCATACTTGAATGTCCATCCTTCCCACTGGACAAGGTGGGGCTTTTCCTGTGGGCATCTGTGAGAAGCTCCCTCCTTGTTCCCAGGTCTCCATG